CGTATCGGATAGGGAAGACTCAGAGCGTCTTCGAGCTCTTGAGAATATGGGACGAGGAAGAAGAAGAAGAATTGAGGCGAAGAAGGAATCGGCGAACCGAGAGGGGAGAAGGAATTAGGGTTTTGAGTTGTTTATTGATTGAATTATTCTAAAGGAGTTACATCTCTATATATAGGAGACAAAGTAACCCTAGCTAACCCTAAACCTAACCTGACGGTTCAATAAAAGCGACGAGGGAAAGAACCGTAAAGAAACCTCGAAGGAGCTTATAATTTCGCTCACCTAATAAAATCTACATTACAATAATAATAATAATAATAATAATAATAATAATATTAAACTAATAAATATATAATCTAATATCCTACTATATAATCCATAACAAAAATATAGAGAAAGTATTGAAATTGAAACTCTATATTTTATTTCTAGAATAAGAGTTACAATACAATTGTGTCAACGTATAATACAAAAAAACTCTGTAAAATATTAATATTAAGTGTCGTATTGCCACGATGTAAATGCCTGCTTTGAGGTTAAAAATATGAAACTGTTATGTTTGATACTTTTTTATCAAGAATATGTTTTTTTTGCAAGGAGGAACTCCTCAAGGGACATACCAATTAAGGCCACAAAATTGAAAAAAATGTGTGGGTTATTATTTGAATTGAAGAAAAAATCCCTTAAAGAATATGATGCATCCTTTTTAAGTACTTCCTACGTCTCTAAATGATTTATATTTTACGCAAAACAAAGTAAAATCTCATATATTTTCAATTCATTTTATTTAAAGATTGATATATAAATAAAAATAAAGCTTGCATATTTAAAAAGTATTCTATAGATATAAAATAAGAGATAAGAAGAATATTTTATTTCATCGGGTAATCAATGAAAACACACAAATAAACAAAAGTTCTGACAATTTTTGAAAAGTTCCTCTGATTTAAAATATGCTCTCGGGTAAGAAAAATATCCTTATGCATTATATGGTACGTGATAAAAATATATCTTCCTCTTTGGACCTGAATAAATTACTAGTTAGATAGAATTTGTGAGAGAACTGGAAAAAAAATTGACTCGAAATCTTATTTGCAAAAAATGGGATCATAGAGTTTGAACTATGACATTAAACATAAATTAAAATGAGATAAGAAATTTGAATACTTTAAATAGTCAATTTGGGTTTTAATTTCTTTTTCCAATCACAATGAATAAATAAATGATACACAATTACACTGTACTAAACATCACAAACATCTCACAAAGGTATACTGTTGAGATCCTTTTAAAGTTAAATTTTTTATAATACGGAGTATTAATGAGGAATGTTGATTACACAATGAGGTTGTGCAATGATATAAAATTAATAGACACTCATTGCGTATAAGGTAAAATTCTATTGGGTACTCATATAGGTCAATAGGTTATCATTCTAAGGTTGACATCGACCCATTTAGATCTAAAAATTTCTTTCAAGTATAAAAGAAAATACCCCTCTAATGATTTCATACGCTATGATCATAAATAAAAGTCAATTTCAGTCATTGTTTTACTTATGCCTTCTTCTCAAAAAGCATGTATTCATTCATGAACAGTTATACGTTGCAGTTCAAGAATTACATATCATAGTGGTTTAAAATTTCTGATTTTTGATGAGAATGGTCAACGAGCATGCTCCACATCAAATGTTGTTTATAATGAAGCTTATCATAATTTGTGAATGTTTTATCAATATACGATGTATTGTGTAATTTGGTTGCATTCGATGTTGGACTGCAATACAACATTTGATTTCATGTGAATCTAAATTTATATCATATCATTCACTTATATTTATTTGTACTCAATAATTGATAACCTAAATATCTTACTATTTATGTTTTGAAACAAATTAGTCTCCGTGTAATGCACGGGTATATTATAGTGTCCATTTAAAAAAAATCTAATTGTGTATTAGTATATTGAACATTATTTTTGCACAAGGAAAGTTTAGAAATCTAGAAAAAGTAATAGATCCAAATAGTTTAGAACCTTAACTATGGTATGACACCGTGATATTTTAAAACATTTACGGAGTAATAAAAACTTGTGCAGATTATGACTCAACATTAAAGGCAGGTTTCGTGTAACTTTTTTTCCCTCTTATTACTTGTTTTTATTATAGCCAGATCAGATTTAATTAAATCAGATCAGACCAGGCGAACGGAACGCAGCTTAAGCCAATTTAAAATATTGAAAAATATTCTTTCCATGCATGCACCAGTATGGATTTAATATAATATGAATATAATATAGGAAAAAAACTAAACTAAGAATAAAACATGAAGAAAGTATCAAAATAAGAGTTTGATCAAGTGTTTTATCTCCAAAATAGAAGTATAAGTTCAATAATGACAATATTTAATAGCAAAAAATATTGTTGAATGCCACTGTGCAGTGTCATAATGTCATAATACAAACCCTTATTTTAAAAAAAACATAGAACTTTTATTTTAAAGATAAATTTTATGTTTTACTCTTATTTCAGGTTATTTTTTGTAATATTTTTAATGAATAAAATTTATAAAATTTAATATTCCCTCCACCCATTAATTACTTTTCCACTTTCTTTTTTGGGTTGTCCAATTCTTTTTCCTATTTCCTATTTCAGTAAAGAACTTTATCATTACACCCTAACTTTTTATCTGTACTATTTAGTTTATTATAACACATCAAGGACAAACATAAAGTTTTTACATTTTAAATTTTTTTTTAACCTTTGTGTTCCAAGTTAAAATAAAAAAGAAATGAGTAAATCCGATTAAAAGTCCCAGTTATAGGTCGTTTTACATATTTAGTCTCTACATATCAAATATTACTAATTTAGTCCCCAATTATTATATCCATTTCCACGAATGGTCATTTGTTAACATTTACGTCAAGAACGTGAATAAAATTGTAAATTCACACTCCTTTCTCTCCTCAATTAAGCTTCCTCCCTCCCCTCGCACTCCCCTTTCCCAAACTCATCACTGAGTTTGAAGCTTTGAACCCAAAACTGAAATCATCACTCTTCTCTCAATTGTTTGTCTAACTAGTGGAACCCAAATTCGAAACGAGTAACTTTCATGCATGAGTTTTAATGTTTATTTTTTTGCAATTTCTTAAGATTAACCGATAATAAACTTATCCATAAAGCTTATTGGTTTTGATTTTAGGTTCCACCAGGAAGACTAATAACTGAGAGATGAATGATCATTTCAGTTTTGGGTTTAGAGCTTCAAATTCAGCTACGAGTTTGGGAAAGAGTATGAGAGGATGGAGGAAACTTAATTGATGAGAGAGAAGTATGAATATACAATTTTATCCATGTTCTTAACAAAAATGTTACAAAAACTTTAACAAAGGACCGGACCATTCATGAAAAATCATATAATAATTGGGTACTAAATTAATAATATTTAATATGTAAGGACAAAATATGTAAAACAGCCTATAACTAGGGACCTTTTATGTAATTTATTCACTAATGGTTGTCATTTGTGGGAGTGGGACCCAAATCCCATTCCCCTAAATCCAGGGCTCCTACTCTCCAAGGCTCCAAGCTCCATTTAGTTTTCTATCTCTATCTCTCCTTTTTTTCCTGTTTCTCCTACTTCCCCTCTCCATTTCTGCAGAAGAACCAAATTCCTAAATCCTCGCTCCCCTCTTCGTGCTCGCAAGTAGTTCATGCGAAATGCCTGCTTGGTGGGGGAAAAAATCCACCAAGAGGAATGCGAAAGATCCAAAATCTCTTTCCCCAACTTCTCCCAGTAGTTTGAAAAATGAGATTACAGAGAGAAGAGAGAGACCTAAGAGCTTCGGCGAGCTCTCTGGTATGGGGGAAACCAGGAACTCACCCAGATCCAGTAGAGATTTCCCTAGCGCCAGAGGTTCTTCTGGATTCTCAGGCTTCGATTCTCCTTCTTCCATGGACAGAGGACATCCGCTTCCTGAGCCGTCCGTGTCCCCTTCTTCTGTTGGAAATGATCACGGGGTAGGATTTGCATCTGGCTCTGATTCAGGATCTAGTGTTAGCTCTTCTGGCTCATGTGATGATCATAGCCGCATCGATCGTTCTCAGTTCTCCTCTTTCAGGTCTGTTTTTGCTCCCTTGCCAGCAAAGATTCGCTTTTTTTCCAGAAAATTTTGCTTAGGTTTCCTGGTTGGAGAGAAAGATTATTGCAGTTTCACTCTTGACTTGATAGGCGTTTTTTTTTTGAACTAGGGAGAATGTATTGTTAACCAGACTCTTTTCCCCGGAGTCTTTGTTTCACTGCCACTTTACTCCGATCTGGTTTTATGAGTCCCTTAGCTTAAGTGGTTTTCTGGTTTTTTTATTCTTATTTTTTGGTAGGTCGGGCAAGTCATTTTTCAGTAGGTGGAGTAAGTCTTAATTGCAGAAACATTTTTATTTCCTGTTAAACAACAGACGGGGAATTAGTGATAGCCGGCATAGTCCAGTCTCACAAAGCCCTGTTCGTTCAAGGGTGCCTACAACCAGTTCTTCGCCTCTGCATCCTCGGTCTGGAGGGGTTAATTTTGATACTCCAGCAGGAAGGTTGGATGAAGGGAAGAGTGAAGGCCACCGGTTGCCTCTTCCACCCGGATCTCCTAATCATCTTCTACCGGCTTCTCCTACCAGGCCTTCTACTTTGCCAATTCCTAGAACTTGTGGTATAGCTGAAGCCTCAACTGTTAATCTATCAAAATGGAAAAAAGGAAGGCTTCTGGGAAGAGGCACATTTGGTACAGTCTATCTTGGATTCAACAGGTATGTCCATGCATTTGGTTTGCCTCTTTTAGCCAATCTTAAATTCTTTCTTGATGGCAGTACAACCATTCAAGAATGAATACTTTATTAACTAATATTTACAGTGAGAATGGGCAGATGTGCGCAATTAAAGAAGTCAAAGTTGTTGCAGATGACCGGACATCCAAAGAGTGCCTTAAGCAATTGAACCAGGTTTGGCTTATTCATTAGTTTTCTTGAAGTTTTTTTGTCCTTGAAACTTCTATTGTGTTCTTTACTTTTAATTGTTTTTCCTCCCTATTTACCTTTTTCTTTTCTGTCAGGAAATCACTTTGCTCAGTCAATTTTCACATCCAAACATTGTTCGGTATTATGGGAGTGAACTGGTACCTGGATTTGTTACACATGAGTTGAAATTTGCTCTTTCAAATTAATGGTGTGTGATTGCCAAGTTTGTCATGTCACATAACATTTCTTTGTATTTTTTGCT